TATGCAAATAGCATAGCTGAAGTCAACATACTCGCTGCGGCATCTAGCATGCAATAAAGTCAGCAGGAGCTGCTCTCCTGTAACTGCCGGCTACTCTTCTCATCTTGATGGAGTACTGGCATCGACAGGAGCATGCACAGAGATCAATTTATCACACCTACATGATAAATCTTCGGCCAGTGGACTGATTGCTGCAGTGTAGTGTAGACAAGGCCTTATTCACACTATTGACCAAGTGCCACTTTTAGTTACACCTGACTTCAGCGCTCTCCTGTCATAGTAATGCTTTTTCACCAACTGTGCAAAAACTTCAAGTACTGCTGTTACCTTGTTCTCCCCACTCCCATCCATTTGTTTGTTCCATCCAGGGCTTGTCTCTTGTCACTGACCAACACTAAGTTCTTTGCAAGAGGGACTGGCTTTTTAATACGTGTTAGTACAGCACCAAAGGCCAATGGTTCCTGATTGGGTCCCCCATGTGCTACTGTAATACAAATGATGAGAAATAATTAGCAGAGCTGAGTAAGAAAGACAGCACAGAGCCCGCTTTTCCAATTCCGTGCTAGCAGACTTTCATTTCATGAATCCTAAATTCACACATTTTTAAAAGCCAAACTAAACAAAAGTATTCACAGATTTGACATAGTGGCCCAGTGTCTTGCCAACATATAGGGTGCTAGAACTAAACGTGTTGCTGCAGCCCCTGGCTTCAAACGGCTTCCATCATATCCAGGGTTTGCAGTTTGGTTCAATGGCGCTCAGCACCTCCACTCTACAAAGAGTTCCAGCGCTCCTGTTTCAACATTTATTTTATGATGCATTATGCTGCTTCTGACTGCAGCCTGGGCACGCCTAAGGCACATGTGGTACAACCAGCATCTTTTACAGTGCTCATTGTTTTGCAAATGTTAACTTGATGCAATAACTTGAGAGCCACACAATTTAAGATTTATATGTGAAGGCTGCTATAATTTGAACCATCTACCTATGGTTCCAGATAAACCTGAGCTAAGCATCCACTGCTGCCCAAAGTGAGGCTCCAGAATACAGGAATTGCTATAGCAGCTCTGTGCCATTAATGGATCTCCTTCCTATGTAGACGGATCCTCCTCTGAGGCATGTCTCTCACACACACACACACACACACACACCCACCCACCAAAGTACAGAACCTAAGGAAGTTCTCACACCTGCACAGAAAAATTCTTTTCTGTTTACTTCAAGATTTGATTCAAATACGACCCACTTTAAATCACCCAGCAGCTGCACAGTCTGTTTCAATACCATTTCAGTCTCTGAATTCGTAATGCCTCAGCTCACCCAGTCAGCCCAAATTGTTCCACCTCCTTACCCATTGTTCCAGAGCGGTACCCATACTCCTTCAGCTGTCCACAAAATGTACTCAATGTTTGTAAAAAAAAAAAGGACAAAGTAAAAAGACCTTTAGCTAGAGCTACTCCTACAAACACAATGTTCTTGCAGTGATAAACAGTATAACATGCAGTGGATGCAGGGTATTTTAAGACAGCCATGGTCAAAGTGTAGTCCTCACAAAGAACTGGCTGATCACATAGTGCTGGCTTTTCCTCTTTTCTAGCTGCTAAATGGCATTGGAATGGCATTACTTTAATTATTATACAATTACTATATATTTTCCTTGTGTGCAACTGCTGTTATTACCACAGAGTTTTCTTGGGAGAGAACATGGTACAGGAGCCAATCTGTCCTTTAAGATCTGGTCCACATTCTGAAAAAGTTTGAAAACCTCCATCTTAATACAGGCCACCCTCGCCATAAGTCCAAGATACGTTCAAAAATACTTGGGACTTATAGTGAAACAACTTAAAGTGGGGATTTTTTTCCCCCTGCAGCTGACTTTCATTTGCGCAATTGGGGGGGGGGGCCTGTTGTGCGACTTAAGAGCAGGGAACTGGAAGTCTTATAACACATCAGTTCCTACAACGTTCTGCTTTAGTGTGGAATGGGTGTATACCGGGGTGACTTATAGTGGGGACGTCCTGTATCTGTAAAACGAACCTACTGAGTTCAATTGTTTTTGAATGATCTTTTAAAATAAATAAATTTTACATTGTGTACATTGTAATGGCAGGGCTGGGTTTGTTTTACTTTTGGGGAGTTAATGGTTAAATTGTTCCTCTACTTTTTAGTGACTTAGCACTGAGATCTCTGAAGGGTAATGGTGATGACAGGCATTGGGACTCATAACAGAAAAGGCTGTTAACAATATTAATAGAAATGTAGCCGTGTTAGTCTGGTGTAGCTGAAGCAAAATGCAGGACGATGTAGCACTTTAAAGACTAACAAGATGGTTTATTAGATGATAAGCTTTCGTGGGCCAGAAAGTGCTACATAGTCCTGCATTTTGTTAACAATATGACATTCTTCATCTTCTACGGTCCTTTTTAATCTCATTGTCAGGCAAGGTCCACTGAAGTCCAGAGAGAGAGAGAGAGACAGCATAATTACCTCTCCATAACTGTTCCTTCTCTCAATGGAAGGTACAGCCACCTTCCACATTGAGGGAAGAAAACAGCCAACTGGGGCACAGTGTGCCATGCAACAATAGGATGACGGAAGGAAATGTTTGGCCGGGACAAACCTGTGCTCTAATAAAACACATGGGATCTATAATGCTCCACAGGATATTGCTTTTGAAGGGCTCATCTAAGACAACCACCCCCAGAGACTGCCTACAGCTTGACTTATACCTACTCTGTTTTTAAAAGCAATCTTTCCCCCCCCCCCTTTTTTTAAATTACTATTTTTGTTGAGAACAAAATAGGGAGCAGAAAATGAGTGCTGCAAAGAGCAGATAGTTGAATACTATAGGAAGTGTCACCTGTTCTCAAAATTGATGCTCTCAAAATGAACAAAAAAAATAGTAGCTGCTCCATGGCTAGTGATTACTATCAGTACTATGCAATTACTGAAGCATGTGGCATGGAGACTACTTATTTTACTCAATTGCACAGAAAACCAGTTTGCTTTGCATGAATGTAGCCAATCCTGGGACTGTCTTCTTTTGAATAACAAACTGTACATTTTTCAGACATTCCCTTGGGAGTGATCTTTGTACACATGAAAAGATCGGTTCTCTTTGGGTCTGTACTGAGAGTGAGAGAGAGAGGATGGAGGGAGAGTGTCCCATCATAATTTACCATTTTTTTATGCACAAGTAAAAACTATCACTTTTAATATATTAACAGAGATGGACCCAAACATACTGAAAACCCAAATGCTGGAGTGCTGAAATCCAAACCTGCACTCATCTCCATATTTTGCAAATAGCCCACACCTGTAAAATTAGCCAAACCAGCTGTACCAGATATGAACACAGTTTATGGCTTATTTGAAATGCAGATCAAAACAAGCTTATTCTCAACAATGGGTTTGAACCTGCAGTCTTCATACACATCAAAGACAGCTGGAATATAATAGGAGTTTGGTTTTCATAAAGGCTATAGGATCAAGCTCAGTATTTTCACAAATGAGTGCCATTAAGAATCCCTCCACATATTAACTCTCCTCGCCTTCTCCAAAAAAACCAAAAACAAACCCACAAGAGAGATGCCTTACTTGAGTTTCCCAAAAAATGTAAGCGATGTTCATTTTGTGCCCAGCATATACTGAGAATGAACTTTTGCAGAGGAAGTAGAAATGATCTCAAATAAAGTTAAATAAAACGGGGAGCAGGACAGTCAACAGACACTGGAACAGAGCTTGCTCTTTTTATCTAATGATGCTTTAAAAGAATAAAAGCCAAATGAATAAAGCTATCGGAGCTTTTAGAAAAAATGCAACACATTTATTAATTTTAACAAAGCAAAACACCCCAAGAAGTTACCTGTACATGGATCCTTTACTTTTAAAATATATACAGAACTATTTATCAGGGTATCAATTTTCTTTTAATCAATAACCCCCCTCCCCTCAAATCTAAGTTCTTTTTAGCCCCCTCCTCACTATTACATCTAAGCAACTCAGGGCCAGATTGTTCATTCCTTCCTATTTCTGATTGGGAGAGGGGAGTGAGACAAGAGCTAGGGGTAGAAGATAGGAGTGTGGACTCCTAACAGGCCTCCCTTTTTCTCAGTTACTATTAAAACCTCTCTGCAGACGACCTTTAAGGGTTAGGATCTGCTGATCAGGAATGGCCAGGGAAGGGGATGTCAGCTGCACTGTGCACCGTATTTCACGTGCACTATCTTGCATCCACAATAAGATGTACAATTTTGAAAGTACAAAAGATTGAATTTCATTTCTGCTTCCAATGTATCTACAAATCAGGTAGTTAGAGGTCCACATCTCCCTTTTGCACATGTGTATGAATGCATTCTGTTGATTCTGGTTGAAAAATTACAATGGAGGCCAAATTGGAAAATTTGGGCTTTTACTTCTCAGAGACCGTATCTTGCAGTTTCCTAGGTGGAGCTCCTGAATGAGTGATGCCAAATGCAAGCACACAGCAATACAGCAGAGGCCTGTCAGAGCTAGTTTTGCATTCTTTAATCAAAATATTTCAGCACAGCAAAAATCTCTCTGTCGACACCTCCTTGTGTGCAAAACTGGATTTACTGGCTTCACTATGGACAAGTCATCTGCACATCTCCTCCCCCTCCCAAAGCTTCTGCGCAACAGTTACATAAAGAGAGTCTACATCTAATGTGTGAGAGAAGCAGCATGCAACATCTGGCCCAGTACTGTCTTTATAAATTAGCTGAATGTTGCCAGGTATGTAGTTTAGAATTGCAATATCAAAGGAACTGCCATAGTGCATCAGGCCATGTAAATCCAATATCCACCTCTCTCCAACAGTGGAGAGTGTTGGATGCCTACAAGTAAAGAATTTTTAAACTACAACTAATGTACAACTAATAAGCAACAACATGCCTCCAGAGGAAAGTTTTTTAAGTCCAAGTGGTTCGTGAGTGGCTTATCTCCTGAAGCATGGGGGGTAAAGCATCCCTTCATTTTTATCCTAGCCAGTGTAACTGTGGATATTTATATTCTTCATCTTTAATCCTCTTGAATACTACCAAGCATTTTGGCCTTCTTTTCAGAAGTCACTCATGATTTTGAGAGGTCATGTGAGGTCCATTGAGGGGTCTGATTTTCAGAGGGTGGGTGCTCAACAATTTCTAAAAATCAGGCTTCTTTTACAGCATCTCAAGTTAAGTACCTAAGATCACTCGTGTCACTTGGATTCAGAGAAAGACCATCATTTTCTCGTGGGAATAGGAGCAGAGGGCTCCTCAAGCTCTGGATAGAAAAAAACCAGTTCTAAGACCTGATCGAATGTAACAGACATATTTAGAGGCATTTTCCCCCTCACGCCAAAACAATGTGACAATCATGATCTTATTCATACATACTGAAATGAGATGTGGCTGCTAGTTCATTTCAACTGTTAGCATTATTTACTGATTAAAATATGACATAGTACACTTGTTAGAACCAACCACTTATATCTGAGTTATTTCTTTAACCATTGGGGAGAGCAAAAGTGGCTTATAATTAAATAAACTTCGTACTCCAGCTTTATAGATTGATACAGTTTGCTAGAATCTGGATAAAACCCATTTTCGGAAGTATACCAGTCACAGAACATTATGCTTCTATTTTGAAATATATTTCAGACAATAAATATAGCACACTTCTGGTTGTATAAGCTGATGTAAAGGCATAGTGACAAAGAAGCTGCAGTCTTATGTGATGACCTCAGTACAGATGTTCTCATTCAAAATGGAAACATCTGCCAGTACTACTAAAACACCCAATGAGCCCTGAAACACAGAAACAGGCATGGAACTGACAAAGAACTATTAGAAGCCTAATGGTAATTACCATTTCTCAGCAGTCTGCAGCCAGTTGACATCAACCATATGAGAAGTATCTCAGATGGGGAAGAGTTTTATGGTGAAGCATTTGAACAGCTAAACCAACATTTTCAAAACTTGGGTACCTGAAGTCAGGTACTTAAACCCATATTTAGGCATCCAAGTGGCCTGCTTTTCAGAGGTGCTGATTGCCCACAGCTCTCATTGACTCCAGTGGGAAGTGTAGTCTTTTACATCTCTGAAAAATATCAAAGCACTCATGGTTCAATCCTACTTCCATTGTAGCCAATGACAGTTTTGCCACTGGTGTTCCATGAGAGCGAGTGCTTATATTTATGTGCCTAGATAAGGACTGGTGCACCTGTATTTCCCCTCCATGTGAAAACATGGTACCAATGTCCATGATAAAGTAGAACTAGATGGCTATGCTGCTATTGGGGTTTTCCTTTGGGGTTTACTCAATAAGGACGTGTATTCTATATTGGGCTAGAATCATAAAGACATTCCTTCTTCCTGGCAGTCCGAGAAGTGGGAGAACAGCCCCCACATGGAGGGCTAAAGGCTTTGCACATTTTTACAAAGGCCCACAAGCCAATCTTCTCTGCTGAAAAACCCACAGTATAGACTGTGTCCAGTCAAGCACCAGATTGTTAACAGTCCACCAGCCCAGTGAAATCTAGCTTTACATATATAGGACATTGTAATGAAAATGACCAATGGAGACCAGCAGGCAGCAACAGCTAACCCTGCCCCCAGGATCAAAGTCAAATTATTTGCCTTTCTTCATTTTTGCTGTCTTCTCTTTTCGCTTCTTCACGTGCTTTGGGATTTTGTTTTTTCTCTTCTCTCTTTGGGCTTCTTTAACCAGCTTTTTCCTTTCCTATGAAAAGGGAACAAACACTTCATGTACAGTAACGATCCTAAAGGATTGTGAGCAGGTTTATAACACGTGCTATGTTACTATTAGAAAAGGTGGAGTGGAGGAGAAGTTAAGCAATTCTGTCCCAGGCTTTCAAATGCTGTTTCAGGAAATGAAATGAACTCCACATTACTAGAGATGAGACTGCTCCACAAAATCCAAGTTCCAAATTTCAGAGGAGTTTGAAGCCAGGAACTTATGGTGGACTCAACCACTAAACATAGAAGTTTATAAAGGGAATGAGAACTCATACTATTTAATTTGTAAACTCCACTATTAGCGCAAATTGTAAAGAATTTGATGCATGGCTTTCTGATATCCAGGCTGGGCTACTCCAATGACCATCGAATGCCAGGCAAGACCAACCCATTGCCTGCAATGAGCTCAGAACACAGCAACCTAATCATCATCAGAGGTTAAAGGAGGGGATTCTATACCACCACAATATGCAACAATTTGAGTCAGGAGGTAAATGCTACTTTATCCAACCAAAACGGCAGGGGCAATTTAGGTAAACACGATATAATTCCAACTGGGATCTGACCAATACAATGAGATTAACTAACATCCCATTCTACAAAAACAGAACAAGGAACTTTTCATTTTACAGCACGTGGGAAAGACAAATCCTTCCCCCAGATTTTCACCATGGCACAGTCATTGTAGGTCAGATCTTTGCACTCAGTTTTAATTATCTTATCTTCTGTGACACTTCAATCCTTCTAAGTTGCATCAGGTTTTCCCTCCATGTAGATCCTGGAACGCCGTGCAAGGGTAGGGACACTCAGTGAAATCCTCTGAGGGCCTGAGGGAACTCTCCAACCTACTGGAGTGGATTCAGAAAGCCACAGAGTTGACACTCAGGAAGATTCAATGCCTTGCACTAATGCAGGCAGAGCTGGGCTTCAAATCAATTCTACATAAAACCCTGTGGATGAAGCCCCTAAAGATGGAAGACCCTCTTCCAGCCTGAAAGCTACACCAAAAGCTATAGAACTACCCAGATTAAGGTGTCCAGATTAAGGTGTTTCCCACACCACATGTGGAATTGCCAGAATACATAAACTTTGTGCAGACTTTGGGCATATCTTCACCTCAAACAAGATATTTTGGCCTTGGAAAGGGTTCAGAAAAGGGCAACTAAAATGATTAGGGGTTTGGAACGGGTCCCATATGAAGAGAAGCTAAAGCGACTGGGACTTTTCAGTTTAGAAAAGAGAAGACTAAGGGGGGATATGATAGAGGTATATAAAATCATGAGTAGTGTGGAGAGGGTGAATAAAAAAAAGTTATTTATTAGTTCCCATAATAGAAGAACTAGAGGACACCAAAATAAATTAATGGGTAGCAGGTTTAAAACTAATAAAAGAAAGTTCTTCTTCACACAGCATGTAATCAACCTGTGGAACTCCTTGGGTACGTCTAAACTACATGCCTCCGTCGATGGAGGCATGTAGATTAGCCAGATCGGCAGAGGGAAATGAAGCCGCGATTAAAATAATCGCGGCTCCATTTAAATTTCAATGGCTGCCCCGCTGTGCCGATCAGCTGTTTGTCGGCAGATCGGGGAAGTCTGGACGCGACGCGCCGACAAAGAAGCCTTTCTTGATCGGCACAGGTAAACCTGGTTTCACGAGGCATACCTGTGCCGATCAAGAAAGGCTTCTTTGTCGGCGCGGCGCGTCCAGACTGCCTCGATCTGCCGACAAACAGCTGATTGGCAGAGCGGGACAGCCATTTAAATTTAAATGAAGCCGCGATTATTTTAATCGCGGCTTCATTTCCCTCTGCCGATCTGTCTAATCTACATGCCTCCGTCGACGGAGGCATGTAGTCTAGACACACCCCTTGTCAGAGGAGGCTGTGAAGGCTAAGACTATAACAGAGTTTAAAGAGAAGCTAGATACTTTCATGGAGGTTAGGTCCATAAAAGGCTGTTAGAAAAGCATAAAAGGGGATAGAAATGGTGTCCCTGGCCTCTATTTGTCAGAGGCTGGAGACGGATGGTACAAGACAAATCGCTTGATCATTGTCTTCGGTCCGCCCCGTCTGGGGCACCTGGCGCTGGCCAGTATCGGCAGACAGGCTACTGGGCTAGATGGGCCTATCGTCTGACCCAGTACGGCCATTCTTATGTTCTTATGGGTGCTCACATTTCCCTTAATTAAAATGGTTAACAGAATAAATTAAAAGCTTCTTCTTTGCTCTCACTGAGCAGCGCATGTATGTGCGCTCTCTCTCTCTCTCCTCTCCCTGGATCAGAGAGGGGCAAGTGTATGACTTCCTGAGCAACTGACCTTTTTGTCCATGCTGTCTTTAGCTGGTTGATCTTTGGGATGCTGTGACTCTTCCTGTTCTTTACAGACCGAGTCACAGTTATCAGAACTGCCCTCATCTTCTGAATCTGATGCCATCTCCTCTTCTTTTTTTTCCAGGAGTGCAGGGACCTGAAGGATACACAGAAGGATTTTGGCCTTAACCAGAAGACAGTGGAACATTTAAAAAATATATACATGTGCATTTAAATGGCAGAGCCTCCTGAAAAGAAAGCCTTCACCTAATGTGTGTTTAGCCACTTCTCCACAAGCATTGTGCCTCTAGACACTGGTATTAAAACTACAAAATAGAATAAAACAAAATTAATCCAAGTTAAAAACAAAGAGTATAGTAGACAATGCAAATACAGCTGTCTCAGGGGAGCTTATTACAAAACAGTTGCACCACTACCTCCCCACCAAATAGAGCCTTTTAAAAAAAAAAAAAAAAAAAAAAAAAACAGAATTCTACCAAAGCCAGATTTAGGAGTAACTTCACATGGTCTTTAGCAGTAACATAGTCAGACGTCTACATTGCAAAACAGAGCTGTGCATTAATGATACAGGGGAACATACATGTCATAATCTGGTCCCTTAATGTGGTTACATTTGCACTATAGACATGATCTGTCTAGTGCTGTTTGACTGAACATGGCTTCCAAAAAAGAAAAAAATCCTACGGTTGCAGGATATCTGCAGTCACTTACAGATTGATTAAATATAGCATTTTTTTTAGCCTATGTGTTTTAAAGGACTTTACTGCAACATTTCAATTAGTGAGTACATAAATACTCCATGTACAACCAGGAGTGGCCCTAGACAAGCTGCAGGCAACGGGCGCCCTAGGCAAAAAGCGCTATCGCGCCCCGGCCTCCAAAGCCCTCAACGGCAGTTTATCTTGGTGCCCTAGGTAACCGCTTAGTTGCCTGTATTGATGGGCCGCCACTGTGTACAACAATCACAGCACAAGTCACACAAAACGTAACAGCACTTGTGATAATGTGGCATTCTATATCAAGTACGTTTTCTGCACTGGGAAATCCTTTTTCCCCCCATTCCTAAATGTAGACTTGGACATATGCTGTTTCCACCTACGGTGATCATCCAGTGGCTCCCTGAGCATTTTCATTCCTGAGTTACTCCAGCACTGGGAGAGTAATGCAAAGTAATTCCACCTACTGCAGCACATGGTATTCAGGTACACAGTGGTGTAAGGATGAAATCTTAGCTCCTGATACTGCAACTGCTTCTCTGCTAGAAAAAAACAGTCAGCCCTTCAGAAATCAGGGAGCTGCCTCCATTGAACCAAATGCAAGATCTGGCCTTATTTAATACTGCTCGGTAAAAGTCACTATAAAAGAAAAACTTAGCAGTCCTCTCACCTTCTGAACACCTGACAAGTCCTTCTTCAATCCCGTCACTGTCTGGTAGAGAATCTAGACACCAGGATAAATTAAAATCAATTATACAAAAAAAAAAATCTAGCAGCAAAACTCTCATTTTGAACCTGACAACCAGAGAAAACAGGTTGATGATTATATTAGGTGTGCCTGTTTTCCAGTGCCATCCACAAAAATCTGAGCACAAGTAGTAGATTCTGCACATCAGGTTTTACAAACCAGAGATTCCATAGGCCTGACCCTCCGTTTTATGAGATCACACTGTGTTCCCTGTGAATCTTTTGTATGGAGAAAGTTCACAACTTTTTATACACAGAAGAGCTGAGAGAAACACAATTTAGGGCTTGTCTTACCAGCTCACTGGCATCATTATCATCTATGCAATATTCATGTACAAATATGTTACCCACTGTGCAAACTCACCCAATGACAGAACCCCACCCTACAGTTTCCAATCTAAAAGAACAAAACAGAAGATGAGTAGCTGTTATAGACAATGCTGGCTACATTTTGCAAGTAGTCTGGTGATTTAGCTTTTTTTGACACCTTCCAGAATTAGGGATGTAAAAGGTTAATGAGTTAACCACTAAGCATTAGGCTTATCAGAATGCTTACTGGGTAACCAGTTAATTGGACTGCCAGCTGTGTTAGGCTGGCTGGTGGCAAGCCAGCCGGGTTAGGGCAGCAGGCGGGGCTGTATAGCAGGCAGGTGGGACCCTGACTGTGCTGCAGTAGCCCCGGCAGGCAAAGGCGGAATTTCGGGAGGGGGGACAGCCGTCATGCACTTCAGGACACAGCTTGCTTTCCAACCCATTTCCAGGATGCTAAGGGAGTGAGGGGAAAGTGCTTGCATTCCGTGCATGCCTCTCACACCTAGATGGCGAAGAGAGTTCACCAGCCAGGTGTGAGAGGCATGCACGGAATGCAAGCACTTACCCCTCACTCCCTGATAGTCCGGGGAACGGGATGAAAAGCAAGTCAGATGAACAGCAAGTTGTGTCCCGGAGCACACCGCTGCTGCCCCTCCCCTCCCAGAATTCTGCCCTTGCAGACAAGGACAGGCAGAACCCCAGCTGTGCCACATCAGCCCTAGGCAGGAGTAGGTGGGACCCCAGCCTTGATCGTACTGCAGAGACCCCAGCAGGACCCCAGACCCGGACCCTGGAGCAGGCAGGACCCTGGAGCAGGCAGGACCCCAGACCCAGACTCTGGAGCCTGCTGTGCCACAGCAGCCCAGCCATACCTACTCACAGGCCTGGTAGGACACCTCCCCCCGCACCCTGGATGCCCTGCACCTACCAACAGTTAACCCATTAAATGATGCAATTTTAATCATCTAACCAGTTAAGTGTTTTGATGAATGTTTATATCCCTTTCCAGAATGGGAAGATCATCTAGAAAAGGGACAAATAATACGGTTTCAATACACGTAGTACAGCCAATGTGCTGTAATGCACTGATGACACTTTTTTTAAAAACACGTAAAGAGAAAATTGTGATGTCTTTACTTAAATCATCTTCGCAACTCACTTATTAGAATCTTCAGCTATACAGGTGTTTTTAATTACGTTCCTTTGTCACTCAAAAATGGATCTCTTTTAAAAAGCCCTAATTTTCTGAGTTAAAATCTCTTACTGTGCGTAACACAGATTTTGAGAACTCGGTCTCTACATTTTGTAACACCATAGCAAATTGACTTCACAGACCAGGAGCAAAGTCTACACTATTCATGGCATATCCGAGGTATCTAACAAGGGCCCGATGGTGAGTCTTGTCTATATAGATACCACAAAAGCTCTGTTATACAGCTCTATTGAAGTGAGGTTGATCAATGAACACCTGACTGTAGTACAGTTTTAGCTTTATTCTGGGAAATTGGAAAATATCTGAAGTTTCAACAGGACAATGAACAATGGAAAAAGTAAGTTCAATTATTCCTATTGCTAGATTCCAGCTTATGTATTTCCACATTATACTTCTAGTCAAACCACAAAAATTATACAAAATTAAATTTCAAAGGGATGTGGCTGCATTTTTATTTTGTAAAAACGAAAGTCAGAAGTAAGATCCTTGGACTGAGGTGTAACTAAGATCAATGAATTTACACCAGAGATGAATTTGGTCTTTCTTCCACCATATGTGAAGTTTATTCCATACATAGCTGAAACTGAATGCCAAGTTGATTTGACAGCTACCACAAATCCATTCAGAAAGAGGATGTGATTGTTTGCAGCTGATCCCTGACATTTTAGTGTGTCTTCTGAATGCATTCATTCTTGAAATTTTTCATTTATATAGTTACAAAACCAGGATTCACCGGGATTCACCAAGAGTTAAAACAAACCGCTGGTGATTCTTCCACAAGAAACCACAGCTAATGGTACTACCTTTGGTTACATTTCTCTGCCAGTTCAAGTTGTTTGTAATGGCTCAGGAAGTCTACTTACATTATCTTGCTGTACGTTTAATGCCATGTCCTCTTCCTTCAATTTCATCATAACATCTACATCCCTCTCATAGTTTTTAACTTCAGTCAGGGTTCGGGGGATATAAGCTTTCTTAAACACCTAACAGGGTAAAATGAAACAAGTAGATTTACTGACTTATATGTAGTTCTGATTACAGAACTTTTCCTTGGGAATCATCCTGATGAGTACCTGGGATCAGATGACACCCATAATTTACAGATCCTATCTCATCGTCTTTGGCCACCAGTACTCAGGGCTCTGGGATTCAGCCCCACGTGGAGTGCCTGAGGATCAGAGCTTCACCCCATGCCCCCCAGCTTCAACCCTGTGGGAGACAACGAGGGAGCAGGGGCACCAGGGATTGGGTCTTCATCCCCATGACAACCAGTTTCAGCTCCACAGGGGGTGCTTGAGATTGGTGCTTCAACCATGGGGCCCCATGGATCCCTTGAAAGGGCTCATGGACCCCTCCAGGGAGCAGTGGACTCCTGGCTGAGAGCTGCTGGTGGTCTAGGAAACCTCCTAATGACACAGGTGACACTGACCAGAGATTACAAAGAAGATTTCATGAGAAGAATTTAGATTAGGGGTCTCAAACTTCCAGCCCACAGGCCATCCCTGGCTGGAGCAATTGTACCATCTGGCCTGGAAGTCCCAGTGGGCCAGCAGACGGAGGGGATCCATTCCCATCTCCCAAACTCTGCCCCTTCCTGTCACTGCACCGCCCTCTCACCCCCATCTTACCCCATTCCCAGAGGACGCGGTTTCAGGGATTATCAAGGGGAGGCCTTGTGCAGCAGGGCAGCAGCGGATGGACCCCTCGCATTTCTCATGGTAGCAGAAGCCACCGGGAAGTGGAGTGAGTTTGCCTGCTGACTATGCTCCACCTTCTTGTGGCTCCCGCTGCCAATGGGAAATGTGGGGAGGTCAAACAGCTGCTGCCACGCTGCACCAGGCCTCCTGAGTGATTCCCAAAGGTACGTCATCAGGGTGTCATGGTGGGGGAGGGGGCAAGAGTGGGGTTATGGCAGGAAGGCATAAGGCCTGGTGGAACAGTAACGGACATTCCTCTCTCCCCCAGAATGCACAATTGCTCTATCTGAGAATGAGCCAGGAGTTTTGAGACCATTTGGTTTAGATCAAGGGATCTTAAACTTCACTGCACCATGACCCCCTTCTGACAACAAAGTTGCTATATGACTTCAGGTGGGGGGTGGAGCCTGAGCTGCAGCAACCTGAGGTACGGGAAGGAAGGACATGTCTACACTGGGGAGTTATTTTGAAATAACAAGCAGAGCGTTCACACTAACAAGCCTGTTATTTCGAAAAAAGGGGCTGGTTATGTTGAAATAATAAGTCCTGCTTTCCCTGGGGAATAAGCTTATTTCCAAATAGTCGTTTCAGGAGTTATTAATCTCATAGAGTAGATATAGCCGACGAGCCCTGGGACTGGAGCAAGGGCTTCAGTTTCAGCCCTGGGTTCCGGCAAGTCTAGTGCTGGTGACCATATTAAAATCACCTTCCTGGGGATGAAGGAAGGATAAGGGGGTGCAGAATGTAGAGGTTGGGGGGTTCCTCCAGTGGCACAGTGGCTAAGGTACCCGCCTCCGGACCCAGAGGTCGAGGCCTCAACACCCATCAGGCCCCCCCCGCAGGGACAGCCAACCCTGGCACCCTTGGGACAAAGGAGAGATAAGGGAGCGCAGAAAGTCTAGTGCTGGTGATCATATTAAAATCGGTTCACAACCCACCTTGGAATCCCAACCCACAGTTTGAGAACCGCTGGTTTAGATATCATATAAAGAACCATTTAATATCTGAAAGCCTCTCCACTTGGTTCAGGACATATCAGTGTATTGAATGTAATATTCTGTGAATCAAGGAGAACATTACAAAGTCTTCAAAAGGGATAATGTAAAGCTTCCTCTCCTGGCAGAGGAAAAAAAATCCTCACCTCCTCATCCACATGATCTTGACTGGACCTTTCTTCCTCTGTTCTTTGGGCTGCTATTTCCATCGCCTACAGCAATATGAAGTGCAATACAAAATCATCACTCTTCATAATCCCGTCCCTCATGCTGGATGATAATTCACCCAGCAGCTCCTAACTGTGTTTCCTCACCTCCACTCAGTTCACAGGGAAGCTGTTCTTTCCCACTCATGGAAAACACTCCAGCTTTTCATACAACAATGCCTTTAGTGACACCTACCGGTGCAGAACATTTCTGCAGGGCACAGCCACTTAAATCCCACTCCTGGCCACTGATGTGCTTACTAAGAGAGAGGGAAAACCCACTTTCCCTTCTTTCCTGCCAATCCAAACACAGAGCCATATTATGCCTGTACCTACACCAGTATGGGATAACAGGGAGTCTCTGCCTGCTGCTCATGTTCTCACACAGGAGGCTGCTTGCATTCCTCAAATGCAAAGAGTTCCTCCTATTGCTCTGGACACCCAGAAGAGTGAGATGGGAGTATTGTAGCCACAGTTCTCCTCCCTCCAGCCCAGTGCAACGGAGAGTTGCCAAAAGCTGTGTGCATCACACAAGTGTGTAGGGACTGCTTGGAAGCACTAGACCCCTACCCAGTGTTCCAAGTTGGGGCAGGAATAATGTCACCTGACCAGGGGCGGCCCAAGGTGGGCTGCTGGCAGCTGGTGCCCCAGGCGGAATGCGCGATCGGTGACCCCGCCTCCACAGCCCTCAATGGTGTGACATCATCATTGGGCGCCCGTTTAACGCAGCGCCCTAGGCGACAGCCTAGTCGGCCTATATGCATGGGCTGCCCCTGCTCCTGACACCCCGTTCCCAACATGGCGGAAGTCAGGATACGAGAGTCTTAATTTGATACTTCACCATCTTTGTTGCTTTGACTACCAGAGCTGGAATTTACTGCAACAGCTAACTGGTAAAGGAGACCAGAACATGGTTGCTGGGGCTGATGACATGACGAAGGGACTGCTAGAGCTAGGAGGCTGGAAAATAATCGTCTATTCAATAACATCCTATGGGGCAACAACCGAACCCCAGCTGAATTTAAACCCACGTCTGCTTGAGTCTCAACAAGACTAATGAGACAGAGGGAAGGGGAAAAGAGCAACAGTGAGTAACTGAGACCAGCCTGTAGCAGTCCCCTCCTCCTAGAATAAGTAAGTTCCTTTCACCAACTGGACCAATCAACATGTAGCTGGTGATACTGGTTTCTTCAGGGTGGGTGGAAGCTTTCTTCACTACACTCAAACTCATTTACCCCCAATTCTGCCTCTTTCATCCCACTCATACACCCCACTCACACAAACATGACGGAGAGGAGTGGATAAGTTCCCCTGAGTTACATATATTGATGTTAAAACACTTCTACTTTCTTTTAACTGCTGTCTCATTACACCGGGCATAATCTTTACTGCAGAAGCATCACTGTGGGATAAATGGAATAGATTAACTTGAACCATTTCTTATTTTACTCCTTAAATCAAGACTCAAGTCTGACCTTTGAGAGATAAGCATCCAAGTTGTCACTTGTGATAGAAGGATCTGTAATAAACTCAAAGAGCTCTCTCACAGTCATCACTGCAACACCGTACTTCCAGAAAAAGTCTGCCAGGAAGCAGGGGAAAAAACAAAGTTAGAATGATTCAAGTTCACTTCAAGTTTATACACCATCAAAGTGATATTAAAGTGACAGTATATTTCAAAAAATAGTTTTATACATTGGGGAAATGTCCTACAAGGTCTGCAGACTCCTACTGGGTGTGGTTATCAGTAAACTTTTGGTCACCCAAAATCCAAGTTACCCATCCTCCAGATACAGCAAATGAGAACGAAGCATGCAAATTTGAATCCCAATCCCTGTTCCCATTGAAGTGACTTCAATCCAAGGCAAATGGAACCAGGAAACAAGTGAAAAGCAGGAAGGTGGCAGGAAAGGCTTCATAAAGGATCAAGCAGATGCAGTAAGTTGGGATTAAACTTTGTAGATATCAAACAGTAAAATCTGAAGATCTAGAATTTCTAGAAATCAGAATCAAAGGTGTGCCCTAAGGTACAGTTAAGATCTATTTACATTTCATTCATAGGGGGACAATATAGCACACACCTTAGACCAAATGCCCATTCTTTGATATTCATACCCAGCTGGATTAAGATACCAACACTAACTAAATCTGAAAGTTGACAGAGCAAATAAGGTTTCATATCCAAGTAAAAACCAAAGGCGTTCCATGGGGTATTTAGCTGAATACTCTCTAACATGAAAGCTCTCTGTGGATAAATCAACATAGCATCCCTGAGAAATGAATTAGAAAGACAGCCTGGAAGCAGCTAAGGTGGCTCTCACAGCTGGGACAGAACTCATAGCATCTAAGATCACTGTCATGCTCATGGAGAAATACTCTTGCAAGTTCTATAGTAAACAAAGTAAACATCAGTGTGGAAGTAATAAAGCAGAAAACTGGGGTGACAAAGAGCCTTCCAAAGTCACATGGCACTTAGAGAAAGCAAGCCGCACAATGTGGAGAAGAGAATAGATGGTGCAAATAGCAGAAGGAAATTTTCACAAACCCATGGAACACCAGAGGGATAAGACACTACTAGTTCATTGGCTCCAAAGCAATAGGTGACAACAAAATTTGAGAAGTTCTGTTTTACAGATTTTTCTTTTTTCTTAAATAAAGATTTCAGACAGCAAGGAAGACAATGTTACAAAGTAACACCGATTGTTTTGACGATTTCAAAGCAAAATGCATACCAGGTGTTGTATGTTTGTACAATATGAAGATAATTTAAATATTTTTAAATAAAATACTGTTTGAGGGTGCTTACTACATCTTACTGAACTTGACATGAAATATTAGTATAGTTCTTTAACAACAGATCATCAAGGGCCCCAAACCTGTAACCTGTTCTACACAGTTGCAAGGACTAACACACAATCAAATCAAGACTAACATTTTGTTGACTAAAAAATTCTGTACTTGATTTGTAATCACTCAACAAAGCAGACCTTTAGTCTAGATGTAACTGCAGGTAGATATTTCCTTTGTTGTAATAAAAGAAATTGTGTGAACTCTGCTTTCCTTAGCCTAGCCTAAAACATAAGCTTACATGTAATTGAATTTGTGTAACTTACTGCAGATTGGTGAGCTGTACTTAGTTTAGTGTAGTGTGGTTTATTGGTTTTCTAATTAAACTTTTGCACATCCTAAGATAATGCACATTTTAATTAACTCCATCCTGTTCTATACACAGTCTGAAGAATACAAGGAAGTACATGGTTAACATTCCTAATGGAATGAGCTATCAGAAGAGGAGCTGACCTACTGCCCACTCACCATTGATATTGGCACAATCTTTCCGCAGGAATTCTAATGCATGTGGATGATCATGCTCCACCGACTGAGACACGTCAATGATATACACCTCTCCACTGTGGTATCTGAAGATGCAGCAAGGGAAAACCAGGGAGAAAATTACAAATATCCCACCATTTGAAAACAAAATGGTTCCTTATTTTGTGGACCTAACGCTAACATTTTGCTGTAGGACACATTCTATATACCGCAGGGTGTTTCTTTCCCCAGTTATACTATTGAACATTACTTAAGGGAACAATCTTGGGGTGAACGTAAAAAGCAATTTTAGAACAATGAATTAAAATGCCTTTACTTGTTTATTCTTCAGCCGATGAAAAGACTCACTGAATGACCTATTTAGAGAAGTATTTCGCAAGTTAAATTATCTGAGAGAAATCTGGGTTGAAATCTGCATAATAATCAGGTAAATTATAAAGCAGAGCTGAAAGGAGAATACCACTCTCCCACAGGAGTATATTAGTACTCCACACATCTACAAATTATGAGAGAAGCCATCAATGCCTACATTTCAAATGATAAAACACAGAAGAAGGTTTAAAAACATACAGCATATTAAATTCACTGAGATCTGCATGAACAAGCTTGGCATCCTGATACATTCTTCTCATGTACTGTATGACCTGTAGATACAACTCCCGGGCTTTTGAGTCAGATAACTGAGCATTTTTCAACAGAGGAGCAGGCCTTAGATTTAAAAACAAAAAAAACAAAAAACAGAATAAATTCTCCATTTCACACCAGCTGTATAGTCCCTTCACCACAATACTTAATGTATTTTAATTCAGTAAATGGAGAGACCTCAGTGATTTACTCAAACACTGGACACTCTTGGGCAGCTCTACAATTAATATAAATATTCATAGCTCCACAGCATAAAGTGGAACTACGTTTTACACCAGCTGAAGAATTAGACCACAACACTATTAAATATTTACACTAGAAAATGTTAATTAACACTTCTAATATGCATCACTAATGAATTTTCCAACTAAAGCATTAATACCTTGCAACCTGAGCTATGACATTTATTTTACATTCCTTTAACACAGAATCCTCAACATCCATGTTCTATGAAGTATGAAAAGTTCCATGTACATCTAGTTACTGCACTGGCACCTTAATTTCTAGCTAAGGCAGACTATTTGCTCACTGTTTGCATGGATTAGGCTTTGGAATCAGGCAGACCGTCTGCAATAGGAGCTAGTGGGGATTTAGATATTGTACATCTCATCTATATATAAAAGCAATATACTCAATTTATCACAAGCCTATCCCACAAAGTAAGCAAATTCAACAGACTTTTTTTTAAAATGACCTTTGTTCAAGCCTATTAATAAAGAAGTTCTCATTGATTTCTTGACGATACTTACATGTCATCCTTACCAATAAATCCCATGACAAGTACATGACTTCTTAGCATAATTGGCTCTGGACAAGGTATTTGTGCTGTATTCAACCTGTAAAATTACAGTAAACCACCCATAACTACTTATTAAAAACAAACGCAATCTATAGGATTTATAATTTGTATTATGATTGTACCAAGAGGCACCAATTAACTTTGGAGCCCCTGTGTGGTAGGTGCTCTACAGAGAAACAGACAGCCCTTTCTCAAAGGACTTACTTTCTAAATATACAAAGGGATGTATCATAACCCACATTTTACAGATGGGAAGTGGACACAGAGAGAGAAAGTCCAAGGTTGGACAAGAAGTTTGCAGCAAACCTCAAAAGTGAGCCCACACCTGCTCAGTCCCAGTCTTAACCACAAGACCATAAATCAGACCTGGCATTGTGAGACTTTAGTGTTTTGAACCCCACAAAGCACCTCGACCAGGTTGAAGGGCAGTTTGCCCTGTCCCTCTCTTCCAAAGGCCCCCAAACTGAGTTGTGCTGAGTCACGCTTAGTCGTTTGGAATGTGGCAAGCTATGCCGTAGTCCAGTGTTGATCTCACTGGCAATGGGCAGTATGGGCTTGGAGTTTTTGAAGATCGCTATTATATTGCTTACTAACTGGTCCATTAGTACTTAAAAAGTTATGCTGGTTAGCACTAAAAGTTCCATAGTGCGCTTTGAACATAGATACATTGAACACTTTTAGCTTTAGAAATCACAGCCCTGTTATGCACTCTGTAGATCTACGCTTTGTTATATATTTTTCGTTATACTAAACTGATCCATATACCTTCCATCCACTATCCAGTTGCATTAGCCAGTCTGCCCCTCTGTTGCTGACCAAGTGCTTCATCCTTACGCCACTCTGCCCTTTCCAGACAGACAAATGCCTGCACTACTAACAGCTGGTCACAAGTTAATGACATTGCTGTGATTTATTCTCCCCACAAATAGATGAAATAATAAGAGACTTCTTGAAATGGTGCCTGTGTAACGTATACACTGCAAAAAGAGAATGGTCTCCTTTGTCCCAGGAGTCCTTTGCAGCTCCACTCTCTTCTCTGATGGAAGGCAGGGGGCATATGAAAGGTCTGTCCTGTGAGGGGACTGACTGTGTCCTGCAATAAAATGGCATTAACCCTGCCCATTGGTGGAAGGCAATGTGCCCGACAGTCAGTATTCCACTGTGGAGTATGATGGAGTTGAGTCAATACAGCTCATAGTGTTTCAACTTGGAATAAATAATACTTTGCACGTCTGGCTCCCCATCTACCTGGGGAAACTGACTGTCTTCTGACAGAATTTTCAGTGGTGAGTGTGGGACATAAGAGAATCTGTTCCCCTACACAGGATCTGGGCAGCAGCTGTTTGACAGAACAAGAAATAAGGAAAACTCCTGTATCTGGCTGAGAATACAGAGTGTATGGAATGGAATTTCAGAGCTGGAAGGTGGGCAGGAAGAGGGGAGGAGGAAGGACCCCAAGTGAACATACCAAGCAGGACAAGGAAGGAGGACTCCAAGACACCATGCCATGGAATCAAGCCAAGAAGGAAGCAGGGACTTCAAGAGGAAGAAGGATCTGCATATAGACAGAGCTTAAGATTATTTGTGTCTTGGCTGTCACCAGTTGAGAGCGGGGATAATAATGCTCCTTTTTGTGGGTAGTAGAGGGCTTTCTCCTGTGGGCTGTTCCCCAGTTCTGGGGGGTACTTTGGTGCAGTGGCTGGGATTCTCTGCTGCTCCATTTCTGAAACACACAGCACTATCTCCCTATCACGCCTTTGTGAGAGACAGTATGAATCATGGGGCAGATCAGGTTCCAGACATCTTGTTCCTCCATAAGGTAGGACAGGATCTGAGGCAGATTAATATCAGATCCCACCTTTTGTGCTTGGGTGGGGAGGGGCATCTGGGACAAGCTGGAGCTCAACAGAACATATACCGTCAAATGATCCACCCCCTGATGGTACCGGCTTATTGGATAGCTCTCTAGCTTGCCTCATTCCCTCCTCCCTGACACCTCAACTACTCACTCACAAAACCACTGATCCTAATTGAAAGAGGCTACAATGCTCTCTCTCTCTCTCTCTGCAAGTTTCAGCAGGTTTCACTCTGCAGTTATGTCCCTCATTGTCTTGGGTTTTCAAAAATGCAAGAGTTAGGAGAACAAGGCCTACTGAAAGTTAATGAGACTTGTACTCCTAAGTCATATAAACACTTTTGAAAATCCTACACTAAATCTAGTGGGAAAACACTGGGTCCATAAATGGAAGAGATGACCAATGCCTCCCCAATGAGGGCAGGGTGCCAGAATTACTTAGAAGAGTAATTGTTTGACCTTTGCAAGAAAATCAGACTTGACACTGATGATAGCTTCTATTATCACCTTCTCCCTCACCCTACTATTCTGGAGAATGTTTTAACCAAACAGCCCTAACAACTGTCTGTGCCAAAATTAAATATAAAAATCACCTTATTAAATTCCTCATCTCTTTTTCTGCCCATGTCTTCACCATTTTCCTCGGGTTTCCTTTGCAGTATCCGTGACGAAATCTTAAAAACAAACACACCACAAAGACTTAAACATTATCATATTGTTCTATTTATAGAATATCTGTGACAAAAATTAAGAGCAATCTCCTGAAGATGTTTGTCGTCATTAAAGAACTCCAACTCACCTGAATTCCCCACTCACATATTTATCCCGATCTTTAAACATCAAAATAGAGGTTTTATAAATCTTTATTGCTCTGTTCTCTCCATTCACTGTACTGGCATGATAGACATTAGCCTATAAGGGTAAAGGTACAAGAAACAGCATTAATGTCCTGGGAACAATTGAAGTACTGAAAAGTTTGCTCAGGCATCAAATACTGTCAAGAACACAATTTTCTAGAAGAAAGATTAAACCTTTGGGCTTTGTCACAAGGTGGCTGCCCCTTTAAATGAAAATGGGTCTGAATCCCACCTGTGACATAGCCAACTCTCCTTCACAGAGGGGCCAATCAGGCCCCTGGTGTACATAAGGGAGAGATTTTAGGTGAGGAATAGATCTGAGCCTGATCAGCTGCAGAAAGCAAGAAGGCTTCTCCTGGAGAACCTGAGATAGCAGGGGAAGGTTGTTTGCCCACTTCTTGGTGGTAGGTCCTGACCTCCAAGCCAGGTAGGACAACGGCACTCTAGTGGAAATGCCCTGGAGGGAGGACTGTTAAGCTGATCTTGTTCTGAGTTACACTTGTTTTGACAGACTTTATTAAAAGTCGAGATAGAACTAAATGAGCATAACTGGGGTGGGAAGTCAGCTACAGGAAACTGTATGAGGACTTAATAAATTGGACCTCAAAAGGGGAATCTTGGTTTTGAATATCTAGTACTAGGAAGAATTTTTTAAGGAGAATTAAGAAGAGGGAAACTGAGGCACGGGGGATGCCAGGACACCCCAAGATGTAAGGGGAGTTCTGATGTTGGCAATGGTTTTACAGGCCTCAACCCCAGAGACCAATACATCCATCAGGGATCCCCAATGAATTCAACACGGTTTTACTCAGGCCCAGGGGTCCAACCACAGGGAATTGCTTATAAGATTGTGATCTAAAACCATACAAAGATGTTAGTGTGTGTAGAAAGCTCTAAAACATGTACGTGCAGTAGAACTTCACAATAATGGATGGGATGTCCATTACAGATAACTTGACAGGAGCCTGATCCAAAGAGATGCAAGCACCTTAGCTCTTGCTGATAATCTGCACTCCTGAGAGTGGTCAATGGAACTATCTGCATGAGTGAGGACTACACATATGATAAGCAGTGGTCTGTTTCCCCTGTAGTCAATAGAGTTTTGCCTGTTAAAACTAGGGATGTTAACTATCAGTTCACTGAACAGTCGAGTAACCTCATAAATTCTTATCGGTTAGCCGACTAGTCTATAGTCCACGGGGGCAGGGCGGGGTGCCAGGAGGGAGCTAGTCCCTGTGCTGCTGCCTCTGATAAAGAGGGGGAGGTCTGAGCCTGCCTCTGCCTCTGTCTTTGGGGGGGGGGGGAGGAGGTTCTGAGCTCCCGGACCCAGTGCAAACTGGAACTAAGCTGGACTTCCTGCCCACCTGACTCTTAATACACTTTAAATGCAGAGCCACAGTGGGGATAGGTTCCGGACCCAGCACGAGCCAGAACTGAGCTGGGCCGCTGGTCAGCCTGCTAAAAAAATGTACTGGGAGGGGGGGAGGGAAATGCATGTAGTCTATAGCATTAACCTATAAGCTTTTCCTTATCAGTTAATCAACTATACTATTACATCCATAGTTAAAACTAGTCCCTGTACAGCATGTTAGCATGAGACCCGTGTATCATGCATATCCCTAAAATATGGTCTAAGTCAGCAGTTCTCAAACTTTTTGGGCTCCGCAGCCCTTTACATGCGTAAGAATTTATGCAGAGCCCCAGCGGTCCACTGATTGTATGTGTTGTACCTATCGATGTTTCAAGGTTGTCAACCTCGCGAAGCCCCTGGAGATGTCTCTTGGACCCTTGGGGCTCCACGGAGCACAGTTTGAGAAACGCTGGTCTAAGTGGAATTTAAATAGTGCTTAATTTTTTGATTATTAAACAGAGCTTAATAGCTTCACTATTGGTATGTGATGAAATTCAAAATAGTAGATGCCACACTGTACAGTAAATAAATTAACTGCTTGACAAGCACAAGTTAATTGATTTAATGCCAGAGAAAATAAGCATTTTACTGTTTCCCTTTTATCACAGTAAACTTCAATTCAAATTGCAAAAAAATAAGATTGTAGCACGCCAGTTGGAACAAGACTCACTTCTTTTCCTGTGCTGATGCAGCCATTTATCTCTGATATGACTCCTCTAGTTAGCATCTTGAACAGAATCATTCGAGTTCTTGGATCTAATACCTCATCGGAAATTAAAAAAACAAAAATAAGCAAACTTACTTTATTCAGTTCATTGAAAATATTATTGAACTAATCCATCCTGAATTGAAGAAACAGAACCACAGAATCTTAGTGGATCAAGCCATTCCCAATTCTATCTGAATAGTATTTTTTTATATAATTTTGGAATTCTCTTTAAAAGATTATGGAAAATATGCTTATGACTTGTGTGCAACCATTAATCAGTGGTTTACAATATTTAACATGCATTCTTAGGTTAATGCTATTAAAGTAACTGAAGGATGATTTCCCATCCAAAATGCCAATAAAAAAAGTAAAACAACTACCCTAAAATGTGCCAGGCATTTACAATAGCACATGCTGGTCCTTTCGATATACAGGTATCATACTAGTTATAGAAACAAAAATGTGTGCATTAAAAAAAATGGCACTACTTCAACTTTTCCATGGATAATTCCACTTTTGAGTAAAGTTGAAATGAACTTCTATGCCTATCAACAAAATCCCAGTTGACTACAACAGCAAATCTTAATACTTAGCACCACAATCTTCTCCAAACCATCTGTGAAAGCAAACACTTTTCATAAAGTAGTCGTGTTCGGAAAGACAAGAAAAACATGGGGTGAAACCCTGACCCCACTTAAGTCAATGACTGTGCTAGGATTTTACCTCTGGTTATTGAAGTCAAATGAAAATAAGCCTTTTAACAAACAGTTTGATATATTTAACACTTACCTGTTCTACTGTTGCTCTGTCTGATTTATCTTTGACTCGATACCTAGTGGAAATGAAAATATAACAGCATGATATGATCTACTCAGGAAGAATAACCTTAACTCCACCAATAATTTTTCCAGAAAAACTGCCCAACAAGAAAATTAACCAAGGAAGGGAGAGAAAAAAGGAAGCATCATTACATGAAAATAGAATTCCTTAGCTGGCAAAGTGCCACCATGTTCTGCCTTACTGGCTAATCCCACAGCCACTGAAATGAATTAGATTTGCCACTGACTTCAAAGAATGCAGGATCAAGTCCTGGCAATGATTTAGTGAATGGTTCAGCAAATCATCCTATTTTATGGGGAAAATATTAATTCCAAAACAAAAACAGCACATAGAACATTTACATTTTCCAACTTCTAGTTTATTCAGCATTACAGAGCATGCTGCAAATCATAGCAAAAAACAATTTAAGAGTATAAGAGCTTTCAATAAATCAAAACAAATGCAGCCACCCAAAGTACTTACATATCTGCCTCCTTTTGTCTCGACTTTTCTGTGACTTTGTTTATTACAGAGTCAGCAAGATTTAACCTATCTGAAAAATACATTTAAAAAAAAGAAGTGAAGACCAAAGAGGTTTTCCACACACAAAACTGCAGCTGCAATCTGCTTCCAAGAGACATATCACACACATTCAAGGTACATAAAGAAATACCTGTAACAAGATGAACACATTTTCAAAGCATAAGCACTAGAGGCATAAATTAAATTAAGCTTTCTCCTTTATGGGTTTGAGATCCACTCCAGCATTATACAGGAGCAACAGGGGCTATTGCTTAGGTGATTAGACAGAGCCTAGAAATGCTGCCCTTTCAGATGAGATATTTAACAGGAATCCATTTGTTCCTCTCTCAAGAAATTTAAAAAATCCCATGCCATTTTTCCAGAGTAAGCAATAAACATCAGTGTCCAAACCAATCTTTTCAAAGTAACACTAATTCTGATGTTTAAGGTGGCATGTGACTTAACGCCAAGTGTACTGCTGCTGTTTGTGTCTATAAATTGCTGTCCTACTCATTTATCTAATCAGTTGGAATACTTTTGGTATGAAATCACTGTATCCTAGATAAATTTGCTATCACAAGATACCAGGGTATGTTACACAGCAACTTGACTGCACACTGAATATATAGAGAATTGCTGAACTAAAGAAGCTGAGATGCTTCAGTTTTGGGAATTATCAAATGAGGGTCTGACTGACATCTGAGTCCCTCCCTCCCAGCCAATTAGATTGTTTCTGGGGTCAAACTACAAAAGAGTTATTTTGTGTAGTCAGGAGGAGTCAGGAAAGGGAGATAGACAGTTCTCTGGGAAGGAGGAGGCTCCGGGAATGATCTTTACAAGACAAACGATGTCTGAAGAAGGCATCCAATATCGACCCTTCTAACTGTTTGGTAACAGCTGGCTAGCTATAATGCCTAAAAGACCCAGCTCGATGTAATTAGAATTAGTCACTGAATGTCACTAAACTGTACCTATTACCATAAAAGATGATGATAGGATTATACTTACCAAGATTAATTTTATGTTCAAATTTTCTTAGTGCCTTGTCTGTAGGAGTGGACATTTTTGCTGAATTGCAACTAGGGGTCTGTCTATTTGCCTGAAACAAAGGATTTGTTACATAATTTGCCTTCCCTAAGTAGCCTACATACACACAGTATCTTGGGAGGGGAAACCAACTTATTTAGTCTGATCTGCTCACGTATCTCAACACCTGTGTAATCTTATCAGCATTTAGAAAATCTGAATGTGTCAGGGTATGGATACAGTTTAGAAATGAAAATTATTTCAGTTACGAGAAAACAAAACATATGTGGGTTCAAATCCTATTACCCAAGCACTCAAGGAGAAGGTGCTTGTTAATCACCTAATCAGGGGACTGGCTGTAACTCAGTCAGATTGGCATATTTTAGCTCCCAGAAGGGAACAAGAACACCAATGATGGGGCAAACAAGGAGAGAAAATACCAAGAGAAAGATGGGGAAACAGAGAAGGGAGTCAGAGCAAAAAAGAGAGAAGAAGGGACATGAATGGCTTGTCAAAGAGGCATCAGTTCCCATAGGCAATTTGATCCAGACCCACTCACTGTCGGCACCATTCAGCTGCCCATCAGAAGCCCTAAATGGCACACACCATTCACAAGCCCTTTCTTCCTAGATCTTCCAAAGCCTACATGGCAGAAACAGACAGCCCAGGGAATATGTTTTGTGCCAGTCACAACATTCTATAAGTGCTCCCCTTCAGTTTCCCAAAGATATTCTGATGTCTATCTATCAAAGAGAAAAGGAGAGATTTTCTATTTCTGTTGCCCAAGCTGAGAGCATTGTGAAAAGTAAATTAATTTTCAAACTAGGTGGGCTAGTTATTTGAACTAGTAATTCAGCCAAGATTTCAAACTTGGTAAGAGTCCCCCCTACATGCATTCACCTTTGGTGTTTTTCAGAGGCTAGCTTGCTTCCTTTACTAGACACAAAATGTGTGCTTGCCCTTACACACACACACACACACGATGTCTCCCAAACGGGTGAAAAGCAAAGGATAGAAACACAGGAATATGTAGAGGGAGGGTACTGAAAGGAGGGCATAGTAGTGATCTCAGGGTGGAGAGAGAGGTTGAGATCCCAAAGGAATGGAAGAGGAGTTGCAGCCACAAGCAACACCATGCAATAAGAATTGAGGAAGAAAAACTACTGGGGGGTGGCATTCACTAGGATTTAATGGGTCTATGTGTTAGGGATGTAAAAGTACAACCATTTAAACAGATAGCCAATAAACCTGGGTTTAGTGGTTACCATTCATGGTTATACGCAGGCTCCCACCCTACTTCTGGGAAGCCTGCTGCCACCCCACATTGCTGGTGCTGTATCAAAGCATCAGTGCAGCTGGCTCCCCAGGAGCAGGGCGGCAGGCAGGAGCCGGCTGCTACCCCACACTGTGGGTGCGTTTAACCGCTGAGATTTTTAGCGGTTACATGCTTACCCAATTGCCTGCTTTTTAACATCCCTAGTGTGCGTGCGTGCACGCTTGTGTGTGTGACAGACACTCGGCAAGGGGACATTCCTAAGCAGGGAGAAGTCCCAACTTGAATTTATGGTTGGGGTCACATTCACATATCATGTTGCCCCTGGTGCAGTCCTGTTTGCTATTAAGCACTCTGGAGCTGTCTGTAATGTACCTGTGTATTGCAGCCTCCAGCTGCAGTAGGACGCTTGGTGAGTCTTCCAACTGAATCATCCCAATCCCACTCTTCATCCTCATCGTCATCCTCTTCAAATTCATCAGTGTCCACTTCCTCAGATAAACATGATTGCTGCTTCTTAACAGTTACCTCCTCCTCCTCTTTCACTGTTTCAGTGACCTGGGTAGATTCACTTTTAAAAAGAAAAGATATAGGTAATTATTACCTATATTACCTAAATGATTATGAAATCAATGGACAGTCATCCAGAAGAATGAATTAGCAAGGGTACTTCTGTACTCAATATTTTATTATTTCACCTGTACTGAAATAGCAATGCACACCCTTCTGCATGGTGATTCAGTTTTACTGTGGTACTCTTAAGTATCTTCCTTTGCTTAAATGTTGTTTTATAATTTGATCAGTGAATCAAGATATTTGGCTCTCTCTGCAACTCCCACAAAACTTCTACACTAGAGAAGATCATTCTGTTCACTCTTCAGAGGCAAACAAACTCTACTGTCCTAACAAGGAGGCTAGGATAGGATAGGCTTCTAGCGGAGATGATCTCAAACTGGACCTTACTGATGATCTGCAGAAAGCTCAACAAATATCCCTGTCTGAGAGATCAACAGATCCAGCTCGAAAACAGATGACCCAGAAAGAAGCATTTAGTTATGATGAGTAAGAGCCACCCTAAGCCTGGTCTCTATGGGTATGTCTACACTGCATTCCTTTTTTGAGAGAGGAATGCAAATGCAGCTGAGCGAAATTGCAAATGAAGCGCAGATTTGAATTTCCCATGCTTCATTTGCATAATCGCATCTGGGCGCTATTTCGAAATACCTTATTTTGAAAAAAGAAACGCTATCAAGACGCGGTTATTTTGAAAGAAAACCCTTCTTTCGAAATTACCCTTAAACCTCATTTTATAAGGAGTAAGGGTAATTTCGAAAGAAGGATTTTCTTTCAAAATAACCGTGTCTAGACAGCATTTCTTTTTTCAAAATAGGATATTTTGAAATAGCGCCCAGATGCGATTATGCAAATGAAGCATGGGAAATTCAAATCTGCGCTTCATTTGCAATTTCGCTCAGCTGCATTTGCATTCCTCTCTCAAAAGAGGAATGCAGTGTAGTCATACCCTCAAGTCTGTTAGGTCTCTTCATATTCTTCCCATATATTTCTAATGTATCCTTATTTATCTGAGGGTATGTCTACACTGAAATAAAAGGCATGGATGCAATTGATCCAGGTCAGATGATTTGGGCTTCAGCTTCAGGCCTATAAAATTTAGGGATGTTAGATATCAATTAATTCAATAATCGTGTAACCGCACATAATCTCAGTAGTTTCACGATTATATGCTAGTCCCTGTGGGCGGGGCTGGCAGCCAGTGCATTCCCGGCCCCACTCCCAGAGACAGAGACGCAGCAGCATGGAAGTCGGGGGCACTGGCTCCACAAAGCCAGTGTTCATGGGAGGCAGCAAGGGGAGGCAGGCAGCTCTGCAGAGCTGGCATGCACGAAGAGCCAGCTTAAAAGCTCCTGCCTGCCCCTTCACCCTCCATGCTGCTGTCTATCAGAGGCAGTAGCACCAAGGTGGGAGGGGGAGTGGCAGGCAGCTGGGTGGGATTGGGTGCTCGTGGGGAGCAGCTTAAAAGCCTGCTTCCCATGGGTACCAGCTCCTGCCTCCCCTGCTTTGCTGCCTCTGTATCAGAGGCAGCAAGTGGGGGGAGTACGTGTAATCGAAAGGATTAACTGACTACAGTAAAACTCCATTGGTCCAGCATCCAATTCTCCGGCACTCCTGATGGTCCGGCACCATCAGGAACCTGGAAGTGCTCTGGCTGCCGGACAATTGGAGCTGCTCTGCGCCCGGCTGGGCTCCAGGCTGAACCCAAATGCCTACTCTGCTATTTTTAGCTTCACAGCCAAGCCCTGTGAGCTCAAGTCAGCTGACCTGGACCAGTTACATCCATGTCCAACACTTGGTGCTGCAAGGTTTGTAATCACAATGTAAACATGATTTCGGATATTTGTAAGATTCCCTCCTATCTCAAAAATAAACGGAATATTACCTTAGCCTGAGACATACTAATTCTAGATTTCAGATCAGTTTATCATAAGCACACGCAATCCAAAAGATCTGTGAATCACGTACAATAGGAAAATGAGACCATATGCTATAGAGATGAAATTCCCTCCTCAGTACAAAACCTGAGGAAATGAGTTCTTGGAAGAAATTCAAGAATAATTTGGGGGATAGGTTTTACTTTCAACATCCAGGAAAGCCACAGATTTACCACAGCCCTTTCAAGCTTGCTATTCTAGCCTGTGACCTAGTATTGCCCCTCAGCTCCTCCTACTTTGGGGTTTTGGAAACACTACATCAACATTAATTCAAAGCTTCCATACGTGATAAGCAAAGGAGTTAGGAGGTGTCTGTGTATATCCACGGGGCTTTCCTATGCCATAGTTGTAGATCTGCGGAATTCAAGTAGGGCAGAATGCCCTGCTTGGGCCCAATGGGGAAGGAATTCCACCCTAAGATAATTTACCAACCTTTACCAGCTTTCTCCATTACACTACTCTGGTGTTTGAATATATTGAACAGTAGAGTTTTCAGCAATCTCAAATTCAAAATTGGGACCTCACCAGATTATAAGAACACAGGAATGGCCACAATGGGACAGACCAATAATCCATCTAGGGCAGTATCCTGCCTTCCATGAGTAGCCAGCGACTGATACTTCAGAAGCAGTGAACAGAAGGGAACAATCATTGAGAGATCCATCTGCTATCATCCAATCCCAGCATCTGGCACTTAAAGGTTTAGGGTCACTCAGAACATGAGGTTGCATTCCTGACCATCTTGGCTAAAATAGCCATTAATGGAACTATGTTCCATTAAACCCACTTATACTTTGGGCCCACCAAAATCCCCTAGCAACAAGTTTTACAGAGTGAGGGAATGTCAAATGTCAAAACAGTCTCATCCACGCTTTAAAACAATTCAGGAGAATCACAAAGATGAACTGCCTGAAAACTCCCTTTAAACAAGAGACTAGAGAGCACAAATAGTAAAATGTAAATAGACTTTACATATATTCTCACATCTAATTTTTAACCTGTCAGCACCTCTTTCAATTCATTCATATTTTGTGTGTTTAATGGATTTTTTTCCCCTTTTGTAATGATCCAAAATGTCTCTAAGGTTGCAAACATTCCCAACCCAATGCCATATGCAGCAATGGTGTCTGAAATGTCTGGTCAGGAAAGTTGGCGATCCAAAACGTCTCTTTCTTTACAGCCCACCCTGTCCCTATTTGTTCTTGGACTTTACTTATAATATTAAATTAGGGATGTTAAATTTTGATTAATCAGCTAATCGAGTAGTCGGAATTTCCATCGGCTAATCGATTAGTCGATAAGGGGGGGCGCTTGCTATTCCACTGTGCCTCTCTCTTTGAAATGTACAGGAGCCACCCATAGCCACCCCTGGTTCTTGTATATTTCTATCTCTCTTCGTTTGAAATGTACAAGACCTGCAGCAGCTCCTGTACATTTCAAAGGGAGAGCGGCAGCAGGAACCCAGGCCAGCAGGGAGCAAAGCAGTCCCAGCTGGCACAGGTTCCCCTCTGTGCCTCTTCCTTTTAAATGAGCAAGAGCTGCAGGTAGCTCTTGTACATTCCAAAGGAAGAGAAGCAGCAGTAGGACCAGTGCGACTGGGACTGTTTCAGTCCCCATTTCCCTGCTGCTCCCTGGCTCCCCTGCCCCCCGCAGAGATGGTGCTGGGGGGGAGACCAGCTTTTAAGCCAACTCCCCCTAGCACCTAGCCATGCTCCCCGCCCTTGCTGCATCTCTGGGCAGCAAGGATGTCGGGGGGAAGCTACTTGTCGAATTCCTACTCGACTACCAGATAAGCATTTCCTTATCAGGTAGTAGACTAGTCGCTTACATCCCTAATACTAATCGCTTAACACCAAAATGTATTTATTGCTTTGGTAATAAACTCTGGAGTAAATAACATGGGATTACAATGTCTCTGTAGGACCAAGAAGCAACAACCATGCTACAAAGATGTAAGAGCTGATGGGCAAGAAGTACCTTTAGTCATAAAGGTCCAATCCTGCAACACATATACAAATAATTGTTCACGTAAGTACACCACTTACATCAGAAAGACTATCCCTAACGAGAAGTACTACACCTGTAAAGTGCAGTAGTTTTAGGGATAGAATAGAAGGGGAGGGGGGGAAAAAACTGTTTCTTTCAAAAAAATCTTGTTCCCCACCTTACCACCATCACCCCCACAACACTGCCCCCAAGTATTTGACACGCTCTTAAAAACACAAGTGGGGAGTGAGTTGGGGGGGAACGCACTCTGAGTTGTCACATGATCTGAAACCAATTTTGGCAGCCCATTTTCTCCTTACCTGTCTGAGGATTCTGCATCATCGAATTGCCCTGGAACTGTTCGCCTCATCATTTCCCTCCTGTAATTCATTGTTGCAGTAGGGCTCCACACCATGTACAGGGGACAGCAATCTGTGTCATACACACAGTGTGTTAGATAGATTCTATACTGGGTGTTTATGGGCAATATATGCGACAGCCCATTGGGCAGTTTCTTAGTCTACACTTTACCGTGAACCATCACTGCTGTGAGGGCAGGTGTGCTAGACGTGTGCATGCACACACACACACACAGTGTACGTTCGGTGCACTCCAGCGTGTGCTATAGTGTGCAGTGAATACACTACCCGTGCTGTGTTCTACAGCCACACCCTCCGGGGCGCGCCGTGTGCGGTACCCTGCGCACACGCGGTGCACGGGGGCGGCAGCGACGCGCTTGGCCCGGCTGTGACACGCACCGCGCTATGTAGCCTCCGGGCGGGAGTCCAGGCGCTGCGCGCGCGCGGCGTCCCTTCGCTGGAGCGGCCCGACCTCCTCTGCCGAGCTCTCGCGCACGCGGCCCCTGCTGCCGGTAGCGCCGCTTGTCGCCTGCTGACCTAGCTCCGCCCCCCGCGGAACCAGCCTGTACGGCACAGCTAGAGGCTCAAAAAAGCCGGAGATGCGACCGCTCCGCACCCATGCTGAGGCAGCGCCCGTGCGTATGCACTGTAAACCGAGCTGGTATTCACAGCGGCATACTCCCCATGAGCCAAGTACGTGCACAAACAGCACGCGTCTCCCACACAGAAGCACGGCAGACAGGGTACATAGGCACATCGAAACCACATGCATGCAGTGTCTACGTGTCCAATGTTTATATGCCTCCGTACATTTATCAATAAAGGCAATTGGTATAGCCTGTGCCTACAAATGAATGTGTGTGTATACAGATACTATTTTGTGCACGTTGAAATCAGGCTTCTAGAACACGGTTAGGAGATGGCTGTCAAGAACTAGTAGCATTTAGTGCTAGATAAGTTGGGGCGGATAATAAGCTGAGTCATTGGCCATGGGCAGAGGAGGTTACAAATCCCCAAATCCATTTCCGTTTACAAGTGCCATATGAGACCAAGTCGAACCTTTGGCTTTATCCCGCTCTTATAAAGCTTCGTCTACACTGCAGGGTTTTTGCGCAAGAAACCTTTTGCGGAAGAGATTTTTCCTCAAGGGTTTTTTTTTGAAAGAACCACGTCTAAACTGCAATTTTTCCTCAAGGGTTTTTTTTGAAAGAACCACGTCTAAACTGCTTGCTTTTTTTAAAAAAACGTCTTTCGAAAAAGCAATCGGAAGAAGATGTGCAAATTACCACTGAATTTGCATATCTTCTTTCGAAAGTGAAATAAGTCTAGAGGTACATTGCCTCTTCTCTCCACGCTGTTCAGGTAGGGAATTGGTTGTGGATCTATAATGTCATAGAGGGTCTTTGTGATGTCACCGGAATCCTAGCCAACTGGACTTCTAAGAACACCAGCCAATCGCCAAGACATCCCATATACAGCTGGTCCAGGAGGGAACGGGAAGCAGCGGGTGGAAAGTAAGAAGAATTTCAATGGATCGAAGATGTGAGCACATTCGAATTAAAAACCTAGAAAAAACTGAGCATGAGAAGTGAAGAGAGGTGTGATCCCAAATTTCTCCCTCCTTTATTAAAAAAGTCCCAAATAGAACTATAAGCTTGGATTAAATACAGCTCATAAAATACAAAGGGAAGCAGGATATTATCATTATCACAATAGATATTTCCTTAAGAGATTTTTCTCCCTAGGAGAAGAAAGGCATCCCATGTTATATTAAGAACTGTTAACTTTAAGGAGATTAAATCAGTGAAATGCTCCAAAGTTCAGATTTTTTTCTGAAATATTTGAAATATTTTGGTTTGCAAAAATCAGGCCCTCTCACAAAAGTTCCAGCAAGTTTATTTTCAGTCTTTCTAGAAATACTGTGAAAATAGCCTTTTCTTATGTTATTTTTGCTTTTATGCCTTTGATACAACAAGGAGCAGCAAGTGTAAAAGATGAATGAAAATTGGGTCAGGGAGAGGTTTGGTCTAAAAATTAGGTAAAATACTGGCTCAATTGAAATCAATGGCAAAACTCCCATAGGCTCCATCTACACTGCACTGGTAAATCAGAAAAAGATACGCAATTTGCGGTACGTAAATTGCGTATCTTTTTCCGATTTATTTTCGAACAAAGCTTTTCTGAAATTTGGCGCACACAGTGCCAAATTTCAGGAAAAAATGCTCTTTCGACACATTCCTTCTTTCTCATAGAACGAGGTTTGCAGGGATTGTGAAAGAGCACGTCTGATTTTTCAAAAAAAAATTTGGAAAAGCAGACGTGTACTTTGGACATAGCGTTGCTTTTCAGGGGTACCTCCAGTAGCCCGGAAAAGCACTACAGTCTAGAAGAAGCCATTGACTTCAGAGAGGCTAGGATTAAATCCCAGGTCTTTTTAATTCAAACCAGTTCATCCATCCCTAAAACTAAACTCTAGTGTAGTGATTAAAGCCATAATTATTGTGTTATAGATGATTCTAAATGGAAAGAATACTTTGTCGTGTCATGTCATGCTATCAAAATACTAGGGTATGTCTACACTGCATTCCTCTTTCATTGCAAATGAAGTTTAAAAAATGAGATTTAAGGGTTATTTTGAAAGAAGAAGGTTTTTTTTAAAAAATAATCCCATCTAGACAGTAGGTTTTTTTGGTTTTTTTAAACAGGGTATTTTGAAAAAGTGCCCGGATGCCATTATGCAAATGAAGCACAAGATTTGTAAATTTGCGCTTCATTTGCAATTTCGCTCAGATGCATTTGCATTCCTCTCTCAAAAGAGGAATGCAATGTAGACATACCCTAGGACTTCCTCAGAGTTGGGGAGTGTCTTTATGGTAAAAGAGTCTGACCCATACCACTGTGGTTCCAAATGTTCTTCTACTTGTTCCTTATTCTAAACTGATACCCCAATCACTGAGAAGACCTGTAATGAAAGATGGACAAGCAGGGGCCTTTTATTCTGGAGGTCATGGCAGGCCTGAATTACAGAATTCTTATATATAGGCACCTAAATCAGTAGCAGGATCACTCCCAAAAGTCCTTTAAACCTTACTAGGAATAACTACTTACTACTTCTTCTACTTGTTCCTTATTCTAAACTGATACCCCAATCACTGAGAAGACCTGTAATGAAAGATGGACAAGCAGGGGCCTTTTATTCTGGAGGTCATGGCAGGCCTGAATTACAGAATTCTTATATATAGGCACCTAAATCAGTAGCAGGATCACTCCCAAAAGTCCTTTAAACCTTACTAGGAATAACTACTTACTACTTTGAAGAGTTTACTCTACAATATATATAGAGAGAGTACTTCGTAGAATGAATATATAT